ATCTCCACCGTTGGAAATGGTGTGAAGGTGGAGCTGTCGGAGACGGCAAGAGCCGGTGTGAAGGCGAGCAGTGACTGGGTTATGGAGAGTATGGGCAAAGGCACTGATAGTTATGGTGTTACTACTGGTTTTGGTGCTACTTCTCATCGTAGAACTAAAAACGGTGTCGCACTTCAGAAGGAGCTTATAAGGTAAATTATTTGGTGGTAATAAATTTGATTGTTTCTCTAATTAGGTTGATGTGAATTTAATATGGTTAGTAGCTTAGGTAGAAGCGTGGTGGTTAGTAATTAAATGCGGTATAATAAATTTTCTTAATATATATGAAACATACTATAAAATCAACATTTTGTATTCCAATTAACTTCATTTTTAATATATAAGATTTACTAAGAATATATATATATATATATATATATATATATATATATATATATATATGAATATTTAAGTAAGTTAACATAAACTTTAATGATGAATTTATGAAAAGATTTATTTTATACTAATATTTTATTCTCCATGATATTTTTAATATGTACAGTTAAGTAAAATAACATAAACTTTAATTATTATTAAAGCACCGGAAATAACCTCTTTAATTAAATTGGGTAACTTAACCCACACGCAACTAAATGTTTTTGCTTGTTTGCAGATTCCTTAACGCCGGAATATTCGGCAGCACGAAAGAAACATGTCACACACTGCCACACACCGCCACAAGAGCCGCCATGCTCGTACGTATCAACACTCTCCTCCAAGGCTACTCCGGCATCCGTTTCGAGATCCTCGAGGCCATAACCAGTTTCCTCAACACCAACATCACCCCTTCTCTCCCTCTCCGCGGCACCATCACCGCCTCCGGAGACCTCGTCCCCCTCTCCTACATCGCCGGTCTCCTCACCGGTCGCCCCAACTCCAAAGCCACCGGTCCCAACGGCGAAGCCTTGAACGCCGAAGAAGCCTTCAAGAAGGCAGGAATCCCCTCAGGATTCTTTGACTTGCAGCCCAAGGAAGGTCTAGCCCTAGTCAACGGCACAGCCGTTGGCTCCGGAATGGCCTCGATGGTTCTCT